AATTTCTAAACAGATTTCTCTCTCCGAAGAAAAAAGTCAAAAGCAACAACAAGCTTGTTGATATATTTTTGGTCGCAACCGCTCATGCAACCGCAAAAGCTGATTCTAGATGAGGATAATGAAGACATTAGGCAACCGGCAATAATGGAACTTCGTCACTCTGTGCAATGCTTTCCTTTGCTTCTCACAACACTCCAAAAGGGCAGCCCTGCGCCTGGCCCTTTGTTTAACTCAATTATTTCAAAGCCGTGATCCCTGGCAAAGCAATCTCGGATTTCTATGATAAGCACAAAAAATGTCAGAGAAGAGAGTTGGTCGCACTGAAAAGTTCGGAAATAAAATTGCACAACCGTAGCTTAGTTGCCAAGACCACGCCGTGGGCAGACACACGCGATTACCCTGAAGGTCAGCCACTGTGAAAAGTAACCAAATCAACGGAGATAATCAGCAAGAAGAACGAGGACTTGGAAAATGAAGAAGGAAAGAGAGAAAGAGAAGAAAAGCCCGGAGGTTGGCGAGGGCTGGAGCGCGGCAAGAGGGTGCAGCTCAGCGGGCAATCACGTGCCGTTCACGCCGCAGTCACCCGCACGTCACCCGCACGTAACAACCCCCCCGCCGCCCGCACGCCCGGGCCCTCCTGCCCCTCGGATTCCGAAAACCTCCCTTGGGGATAGGATTACCACATGGCTTGACCCCGGCGGCCCAAGGGGAAGGCGAGAGGCGCCACAGGGGGAGATCCTTGAAGACGTCGGCGGTAACGGGTCGTCCGCCATGTGAAGACGCCCGGGCCAGGGGAACGCTGACGGCCGCCGCTTAGGTTCACGGCCGCCTCGCCCTCATGCACATTTCTCCCCTGGAACGTACATGAGCGCTTGCACGTTTCTCTACATGCCGTCTACAAGGGAGAATGACCTACAGCTCCCCTGAATCCTCGAAACCTCCCTTCGACGCGTGAAACGACGGCGATAAGGGGCGGCAGGCGTCTAATCACGCAGTTTACGTGTGATCTTTACCGCGTGAACACCCCATGATCATATCTGTTAATGAGAAGCAGTCCATGGCTTTTAGCACCTGGAGAGTCTCTTCGGCGCCGCTATCAGTTCCCGACGGCGACGCGCGGGGGACAGGTCTCTGCAGTTTGCGCACGCACGCGGACATCCCCACACGCAGACGCAACCAAAAGCACACATACACAGGTACACGCACACAAACTAAAACACACACACAGAAACGCGCAAAGGTACACGTACATACTCAAACACAAACATACAAAGACCCAAAAACCCACGCACACAAACATGCCCCGCATCCACATCCACGCAGAAATAGACAGAAACACACCAACGCACGGACGCACCCAGACACACGCCTCCCCGGCCAGCCAATCTGAGAGGCCCCCGAGGGCACGCCCCCTTCAAGAGCCCGCTCGCTGGCCACTTGACGGCGCGCATCTCGACCAAGGTTTAAAGAATAGAGAATTCCCGGTAAGTGGATAATCACGGTGCATACGCAGAGAGAGAGAAAAAAAATGAGAATGAGACAGAGAGAAAAAAAGAGATAACGGTTAAGATCAAATGAATTAACTTGATACTAATTATGCATAATGAGATAGGAAGCTGAACAAAGGAATATTGACAAAAACGAGAAAAATGGATAACTAAAACAAAGAGAATATATAACAAAAAACATTCATACTTGAGACAAATTATCTTAGTTTTCATTTAGCGTCAAGCTCTCCTTAGACCTCCCCCCCTCCCCCCTCCCCCAACGCCATACGTCAGCTTGGGGTCAGGGGTGGGGGGGGGGGAGCAGGGCTGTGCTGGGGTAGCCTTGGGATGCCAGACCTGAATCTAATGTTAAATATGACCCCAATTGACTACAGTGAGACCCCAGACTAAGTTCAGTGTGAAAGGTTTAACCTCTGCGAGACTAAGTGACCCCAGGTAAAAAAAAATCTCAAGTGTACCCTAGTGTGAGATCCGAAAGTGACCCCAGTGAAGAAAACGGTATAATTTTGGGAATTTCGCAAATGACCTTTGTGAAAATAACTAGTATATGGGCTCTGGATGCGTCCCCGGTGAAAATTTTTCAGTATGACAAATGACTGTGAAAGTGACCCCAGAGAAAAAAAAAAATCAGTATGACCTCTGAGAGTGACCCCGGTGAAAATGTTCAGCAAAGATCTGTATGAGCTCTTAAAGCGACCCCACTAAAAAGAGAACTCTAGTTGAGCTTTGAAAGTGCCTCCAGTGGAGAAAAAAATCGGCATAATACATGGGCTCTGAAAGTGACCCCAAGGGAAAAGGTGTCATTAGGGTTGAAAGTTAATCATCAAGGTGACCAAGTGAGATCGAAAAGTGACCCCAGCAAACCACAAAAATGATTCCATGGACAGAGCCAGACCCCACACTTAAGCTTATACTAATACCTCCATTCTGAAACTTAACATAACCCCTATGGACCCAGTTAACAAGCAAAGGAACCCCAAACATGAGAGCCCAATGTCGGCCTAACCGAAATCAACTCTAAAACAAACCCAAGCCACCAC